ATAAGTTTATTTATCATAGTATTAAGTACAGTAAAGTTTAGTCCTAACTAAAATAAAAGTAAAAAAAAAAACGTAACACAGGTTACAGTGTCAATTTATCTCTTTTATCTAACTTAGGCCTAACATAAGTTAAAGTTTTATAAAGTACGGCCTATATACAAGTGGATTTATACATTTCGTTGTCTACGATTACAATTCGTTTATATTGTGCTACAAATGTTATATTTAAAGAAGTACTGTTACGATAAATATACTAATTTGGCCGGAAATGTTTTGTGGGCCTCTGCTAGTATATATAACTCTTAAACTGAGCCGTAGCCTAGCCAGTCTGGTGGACGAGATACTGTGTGACTTGCCTCGTCGACACTGGATATAGCAGTTAACGTATTATATCATGGGTTCTGAACTGTACGTAATTTCAGAAGCGTTAGGCCTACTCTTTGTTCTCTAACCAGTGTTTAATAACTGTGTAGTCTCACCCAAGCTAAAGGATTAAACACGTTCTATATACTTAAGTTTTGGTAGGTCAGATGTCATGGTCTTTACTCTAAATACTTGGAACATAGATACTCACGGCTAGGCTATCTGAGGTATAGTTCTGGCCAAACCGCGACGACTTCCAGTTCTCCAGTATCAATAAACCTGCATAGATTTTACCAGTAGTGAGCGACCCCTCGCGGAGTTCTGGTGGAGATTTGTGGAAATATTAATATTATGTCAAATTACAACTTAAATATAAAAGAATAAAAATGTATGAAATAAATATATTATCCGGACCTGGAAAATATTATTTTGCACAAGACGCTTGATATTATTCTATCACACTCTTGATCATTAAATACAATTTTTCTCAAGTACCATTTTCTGGAGGAATGATTTTATCTATCAGCTTTTTAGCCTGCAGTGGCCAGAGCTTCTTGATGGTGTGTCTCAGTTCCTGGTCAGCTTGGTCCATTTCCTCGGCTAAAAAAAAGAGATTCCACGACTTTTGATCTCAGCAAGATGAATCTCTTATAGTAAGAACAACTAGTAAATGTTTTTGTAATAAAGTAGAACATTTTGAACACAGAGTACACTTTACAACATCCGGGTCTTACACTTACTACGTCTCGCGGAATTCGTTTAATTCATTTTATTGGCGACATTAGGGACTGGTTTATTTTATTCTAGTTCACAACAAACGCAGAACTCACCTGGTCTCATTTTCACGCTCAGGTTTTCTCTTATCAGAGCAAAAAGGGTTGTTGTGAAATTGACTTTACCTTCTTCTGACACCGGCATGTTCATACGGATCAACTTCTACAAATAAAGAAACGTCAGCTGGTGTTTAAAGAAACGTCAGTTGGTGTTTAAAGAAACGTTCAGTTGGTGTTTAAAGAAACGTTCAGTTGGTGTTTAAAGAAACGTCAGTTGGTGTTTAAAGAAACGTCAGCTGGTGTTTAAAGAAACGTCAGTTGGTGTTTAAAGAAACGTTTAGTTGGTGTTTAAAGAAACGTCAGCTGGTGTTTAAAGAAACGTTCAGTTGGTGTTTAAAGAAACTTCAGCTGGTGTTTAAAGAAACGTTCAGTTGGTGTTTAAAGAAACGTCAGTTGGTGTTTAAAGAAACGTTAGTTGGTGTTTAAAGAAACGTTCGGTTAGTGTTTAACGAAACGTTAGTTGGTGTTTAAAGAAACGTTCAGTTGGTGTTTAAAGAAACGTCAGTTGGTGTTTAAAGAAACGTTCAGTTGGTGTTTAAAGAAACGCTCAGTTGGTGTTTAAAGAAACGTTCAGTTGGTGTTTTATGAGACTGAAATTTAAAGGTCCAGTAAACAATAAGTTACTTGTCAATTAAAGGTCTAGTAAACAATAAGTTACTTGTCATTTAAAGGTCCAGTAAACAATAAGTTACTTGTCAATTAAAGATCCAGTAAACAATAAGTTACTTGTCAATTAAAGGTCTAGTAAACAATAAGTTACTTGTCATTTAAAGGTCCAGTAAACAATAAGTTACTTGTCATTTAAAGGTCTAGTAAACAATAAGTTACTTGTCATTTAAAGGTCCAGTAAACAATAAGTTACTTGTCATTTAAAGGTCCAGTAAACAATAAGTTACTTGTTATTTAAAGGTCTGGTAAACTTACAAGTTACTTATCATTTCGTTTTGTTGCTGATAATTAGAAATGTATGAAGCTTAAGAACAAATCTGACAATAAAAGGTAAACTACTTGGGTTCGTTTCTAGTCAGCGAAGGACTGAATTTATAATTTGTTAGACGAAACCAAAAGAATAGAAAAAATAAACAGATGGTACTGATATTAAAATAAGGAAGATATAAAAATAACCAGAAGCTATGAACTTGAGAAAAGTTCATCATAACATTTACTGTAAAATAACATTATGTTATAAAGTTGCGAAAAATAACTTTATATTACAGTTTACAGCGAGATCATGTTATCAGTAAACACCACTGTCCAAGAAGAAAACACACACACACAATATTGTACTATCCCGAACTAATATTATATTACAGTTTACAGCGAGCTAATGTTATCAGTAAACACCACTGTCCAAGAAGAAAAAACACACACATACAATATTGTACTACCTAGAGCTAACATTATAGTACAGTTTACAGCGAGCTAATGTTATCAGTAAACACCACTGGCCAAGAAGAAAAAACACACACAATATTGTACTTCCCCGAGCTAACATTATACTACAGTTTACAGCGAGCTAATGTTATCAGTAAACACCACTGGCCAAGAAGAAAAAACACACACAATATTGTACTTCCCCGAGCTAACATTATACTACAGTTTACAGCGAGCTAATGTTATCAGTAAACACCACTGGCTAAGAAGAAAAAACACACACAATATTGTACTTCCCCGAGCTAACATTATACTACAGTTTACAGCGAGCTAATGTTATCAGTAAACACCACTGGCCAAGAAGAAAAAACACACACAATATTGTACTTCCCCGAGCTAACATTATACTACAGTTTACAGCGAGCTAATGTTATCAGTAAACA